TTTCCCCTCTCACAATACCGCGCACATTACAAAATATTCTTAATTCAAAAAAGAGTTCAAAACTTACGATTTGAAATAACAGCTCGAGAAATTCGAAATTAAAATTTTTAAACAATAGTGTTGAATGATTGAATAAAATAGAAATAATGTGGTAGAAATATTAGGTCGTTCCGAAAGTTCTTTCCGTTTCTTCAACCTATCATAAAAACACTGGAATAAAGGTAGGAAAACGATTCAGGCACTGTCCGATGCACCTTTTCTTTCTCTTTTCAACTGTCATACTTCTCTGCCGCTAGCTCTTGTGGTCAGTGAGATAATGGCCGAAATTTCGAACCCATGGTTTTTACCATGTCTAACTTTGGCAATTTTTCACAATCTTCTTTTCTAACTTTTCGAAAAGCTTTGATAGCAGTCAGATAGAGTAAACAAAGTGCAATTTAATGGAATTTTTTGGCAACTATAGCCAGCCTTAAAAATTTTTTAGAATTATTTTACTGATGCTATCAAATTCCACTTTTGGTGATGCTAAGAACCATAGAACATAAAACGGCGCACAACTAAGGTGTCATTCGATGCAGCTTTTCTTCCTCTTTCTAATGAGTATTTTTCTTTCCAATTTGTGGGAGGTTTTTGGCGATAAAATTTCCATAATTCTTGATTTTGAACCTGTCTAAGGGTGTACACGTGAAATGCGAAATCTTGAATTTCAAAGCGGTAAACACCTCAGTTACTTTGTAAAAATAGTGTGCAATCATAAATGACTTTTGAAAGTGTCCAAATCCGAAGATTTGTTAATGTTTGGAGCGTTCGTGTGTTTTGTGACTTCGAAAAAGTGGAGACTTTTGGAAAAGTTATCTCAAAAAATACTGAGAAGCCAACTGAGATTGCCAAAAAATTACATTAAATTGCACTTTATTTACTCTATCTGACTGCTATCAAAGCTTTTCGAAAAGTTAGAAAAGGAGATTGTGAAAAATTGCCAAAGTTAGACATGGTAAAAACCATGGGTTCGAAATTTCGGCCATTATCTCACTGACCACAAGAGCTAGCGGCAGAGAAGTATGACAGTTGAAAAGAGAAAGAAAAGGTGCATCGGACATTGCCTGAATCGTTTCCCTATCTTCATTCCACGTGTTTTTATGTTAGGTTGAAAAAACGGAAAGAACTTTCGGAACGACCTAATATTAGGTTGGTGCAAAAATAATGAGCGTTTTTATTTGCTTGCTTTAACAAAGCAACCAGACCCAACCCAACAAAGGGTAAGGGGTACTGTTCGATAGAGCAAAGCAAGCTCTACAAGATGGCGCTCACTTCTTTGCGCCATGCTCGATCCACGGAGAGTTCGAACTCAAAATCTAACGATTTCCAAATGCCCAAAAAATCGAAAAAAATCAGATCTTCGTCCAAATAATTTCTACGAACCTCCCACTCGCTCACATCAATACTATCGATATCTGATATCCATATGTGCGATTGCCGTATTTTTTCATTGACTAGAAACTGAGAAAACGAAAATTTCCCTGATTTTCTCAAAGCAATGCTGAGCCGATTTGCATATGCAGTTTTATACTACAAGCCTAGGTAAGCATAACTGTAGGTTTTCAGCCTATTTCGAGCGGTACTTTTCGAGAAATGTCGATTTTAGCACTGAAACTGAAACGAAAAAATCCGAACTCGTTATTTTTCGAAAACTACCGCTTGGAATGGGCTGAAAATCTACAGTTATACTTACCTAGGCTTGTAGTATAAAACTGCATATGCAAAACCGGCTCAGCATTGCTTTGAGAAAATCAGGGAAATTTTCGTTTTCTCAGTTTCTAGTCAATGAAAAAATACGGCAATCGCACATATGGATATCAGATATCGATAGTATTGATGTGAGCGAGTGGGAGGTTCGTAGAAATTATTTGGACGAAGATCTGATTTTTTTCGATTTTTTGGGCATTTGGAAATCTTTAGATTTTGAGTTCGAACTCTCCGTGGATCGAGCATGGCGCAAAGAAGTGAGCGCCATCTTGTAGAGCTTGCTTTGCTCTATCGAACAGTACCCCTTACCCTTTGTTGGGTTGGGTCTGGTTGCTTTGTTAAAGCAAGCAAATAAAAACGCTCATTATTTTTGCACCAACCTAATATATGAAAAGAAAGGGGGTGGGGCGTAATGGGTCTCAAAAATGTTCGTATAGTCTGTAGATAATGAAAGATCAAAGCTTTTTTAAACTCTATAGTAGTTTGTCTAGGCAATTTTCGAAGGTGTGGCTCACTCCACTCCTTTTCGCTAAAAAAGTCGAGGGCGTACAAAAAATGAAACCACGAAAATTCAACCATTCCTAAATTTCCCTTTATTCGGTGGCTCATGCTCACAAATGCAAATATTTTTGTTCCCTCCACCCCTCTTGAAAAGTTTCTTGCACCACCACTGCGTATCTGTCCTTCTCTGCTCCTCTGTTTTTGTCATCCGGGGCGAAGCCCGGATGTTATTATCCTAACTATATCGAAATGAATGTTAATGAAGCAAATACAGGAAAGAATTACTGAAGAATATCTTAGCGAAACCGAGAAATTGCTTCTTTAAGCCTTTTTTTACGCTGAAAAAATTTCTGTAAAAGTTTCCTCAGAATCCAAGACAACGTTTCTCAGTTAGCCTCTAACTTGACCAAAATTGAGTTTCAGAAGTTTGGGAAAATTCTTGGAGTTGAATTAAAACGAGAAACTGCGCTTAAATGTGCGCAGAGAGTCGCGCACGAAAATGCTGGTCTATTTCGTTAATGAGTGATTTTCAAAGCTTGGGACGTTGTCAATCTCCTTCTCGTGTCATGACGGTCAGAATGATATACAATACCGCTCATAATTCGTCAAAAAAGTCGCCGGACTGCGGCGCACTCCGCCACAGTCCGCCGCAGTGCGCACTGCTTGACGAATTATGAGCGGTATTGTATAATGCGCAGGGTTTCGTTGAGACCCCGCGGAGATCTACGACCAGAGCCAAATGCCCCGTCGGCTCTGGTCTGGCTCCGCTGCTGGTCTGCGTCTCCGCGCGCTGCGCGCTACCTCGCTACCCCCAGACGCGGGGCGCGGGGCATTTGGCTCTGGTACCCTTTTCTTCGCTGTTTCGAAACCAGTTTTAGCATGCTATATATCATTTTGAAGCTCTTGATCTCTATTTTCACTCACGCTAACAACGTCACAGAACCACATTTTTTGATTTGGTTGAAAAATCCGGCAAAAACCTTGTTTTCGAAAATCTCTTGTTCTTCTTCTAGTTTACCTCTTTTTACGCGGTTTTTTCGTGCATTCTATAGATCTTGCTTCTGTTCGTAATGCAGACAACCACCCAGCTCTTATCTCCTCGATTATAACGGAATTTTTCGTGAAAAACTGTGAAAAGTGCGTTTTTCTTTATCTTGTTCTGTTTCAGTGCCTTCGCAGCGATTTTTTTCCAGCTTGGGCGATTATTGCTGAGAACAATAAGCGCAACAATCCAGACAACGTCCCAAGAAACAGGAACGTCAACGCGGGGACAAAAATTTAAAGGACGCATCAAAAATCAAAATCCCGTGTCGCGAGTTGCTGGTCCTGGAGCGAAAACTTGCACTTTGAAAAGCCGCCGAATGGAAGGATTCAAACCTTATTGCGGCGTTTTTGTCCGGTTTACAGCGGTTTCTTTTGCTTTTTATGTCTATTTTACGTCATTTTCTCTTTTATGATCCTCTTCAAACAACCTTCACTATTTATGACGTCAGATGTTCAAACAATCTTCACTTTTGGCGCCCTGTCTCTGGACTATCGAAGGTATGGTGTGGGGAACAATTGGCAATGCTGGCCGTTTTCTTGCATGAAGGTCGTAGTCGTAAGATGGTTAGTCGAGGTGACAGGATCGACAAGGTGGGCGACAGATGCGTGGACGACAAAACCAACGTCTCCAACGCTTCGTGATGAGACTTTTTCACCACGAACGATGAGAGTCCCATCGCTCATCTGCGTTATTCTTCCGTCCGTTTTCCATCCTGGACTTCGTTTCCTGCAAAGCGATGACGTGTGATTGATGGGCTCTGCAGCGTCGAGCAAGCGTGGAGGTCTGTTTTGGCTTTTAGGCGCAGAGCATGAGTAGTCTCAATCGCGTGTACTGCGAGCAGACGTGTCGTTTTTGTCCAATCAAAAAGGCGCCGTGAGGACCCTAACATCGTTCTTGCTACCATCCGGCGCTGTAGGCGGGATTCGATGTGCAGGGATTCTTTCTCCTTTTCTAGCTGATGGAGTAATGAAGTTTTTCCTCTACAAGAATAAATTTACTTGGCCTACTTTTGATTTTTACGGGCGATCGCTAATCCTGCACGTAGAGCGGGGACCGCCTAGAGATTCGAGAACCAGACCGCGGGGGATCTGGCTTGGACAGCTCTCCGCTGAGCATCCGGCCGAAACCGGAACGTCGAACTCCTTCACAGGGAAGACCCTACCAAAATACACACTCGGCTGGGTAATGCACTTCGATACCCAAGGCACCCCCACGCCACGATGAGGCAGCGGATATAGCGGGATCATATTCGAAACATAATCAAAACTTTCGCTAGAAAAATCGAAAACAAAGTTAGCAGTAAAACGCCTAATCATAATTAATTCCTTCTTATAAAGAGTAGGTCGTGAAGTCACAGACAAAAATGAAATCAGATTTTTTTTTGATTTTCCAGTTCTTCAAGAACCAGAATTCAATATCTACGATTTGAGTGTTTCCGTTAATTAGTATTTGTATATGTTATACCTGATAAAATTTTGCTACAAGCAACACTAGAACCGGTATTCTTTGTAAACTCTGTTATGTGAATTTGAAGAATTTGTTAAAACCTCAGATAGTTACTATGTTTTAAATATTTTTCAAGGCTCATGATCCAACCTAATAATTGCGCATGTTACACAATGGTAAATGCAACACAGCCGTGCTAAATTATTCGGAATCATCATCAAAATATATAACTCGCGAAGAATAATGTTTATCCTTTAATAAACCATCGCATAAACATAAGGATAGAAAATTTAGCTTTGCTTGGAACTGCAAGCTTATCTCCAAAAATTACGATACGGTTACTACGCTCTAGAATTCATTGGTAATGGCATAAGATTGTCTCTAAAGTGAAATAATGACCTCCTCCTACGCCCCTTAGATTTCTTCGATTTTCGCGGTTTTCCTACATTCCCACGATGCACCGTTTTTCTTACATCCCGAAATTGTGTTTTCGGATACCGTTTCTTTGATCGACCAGAGGATTTTGCATTGCCTGAAATTTTGATTTAATTGCATTTAAAACTACATTGTCTTTGCTTACCTTTAGTCCTTTTTATCGATCTGGTGCTCTTTGACCTATAACTTGTGGTGATTCTCTTCAAGTTACCTATTCTTCTACGTTGGGCTGCTTTAGCAGGCAATTTAGTACTAAAGTGTCGTTTGTTTTCGTTAAAAACAAACGTCAATCTCTCCTTTGAAAACTTCTTTGCTTTTCCTTTTTTACTCTTCGTTGTTCTTCTTGTAGGTTTTATCTTTTGCTTTGCTGTAGGGTGTACTTCATGAAACTTGAAAGTAGATCTTGTTTTTCTTTTGCGCTTGGAAGTCGTTTGTTTAGCACTTGTGCGCTTTGTGGGACGTTTGGTGGTATGGAGTACTTCATGAAACTTGAAAGTAGATCTTGTTTTCCTTTTGCGCTTGGAAGTCGTTTGTTTAGCACTTGAGCGCTTTGTGGGACGTTTACTGGTATGGAGTACTTCATGAAAGTTGAAAGTTGATCTTACCCCCTTTCTAAAGCTGGAAATTGTCGTTTTTTTGGTACTTGTGCGCTTTCTGGGGCGTTTTGTGGTGTGAAGTACTTCAATAAAATTGGAGGTTGATCTTGTCCTCCTTCTGTGCTTGGAAGTAGTCCTTTGTCTAATACTTGTGCGCTTTGTGGGACGTTTGGTGGTATGAAGTATTTCATGAAAGTTGAAAGTTGATCTTGTTTTCCTTTTGCGCTTGGAAGTCGTTTGCTTAGCACTTGTGCGCTTTGGGGGACGTTTGGTGGTATGAAGTATTTCAAGAAAGTTGAAAGTTGATCTTGTTTTCGTTTTGCGCTTGGAAGTCGTTTGTTTAGCACTTGCACGCTTTGTAGAACTTTTGGTGGTATGGATTACATCATGAAAGTTGAAAGTTGATCTTGTTTTCCTTTTGCGCTTGGAAGTCGTTTGTTTAGCACTTGTGCGCTTTGTAGAACTTTTGGTGGTATGGATTACATCATGAAAGTTGAAAGTTGATCTTGATTTCCTTTTGCGCTTGGAAGTCGTTTGTTTAGCACTTGTGCGCTTTGTAGAACTTTTGGTGGTATGGATTACATCATGAAAGTTGAAAGTTGATCTTGTCGTCCTGCGCCTGGAAGTTATCGTTTGTTTAGTGCTTGTGCGCTGCTCAGTCTTTTTAGTCATTTTCGTTTGTCTTTCCACATCAACAACTTTTGTTTGTCTCTTTGTAGGCTTGGTGGTGTAAGGTTTCTCATTCGAACTTGTCGCTTTTTCAGTGCTAGAGTGCTTCATAGTGTGCTGTTTTTCACTGAATTTCAACATTGAGCTTGATTTCTTACCAGTTGTAAGCATAGTCGATGTTTCGGCGGAAGTTTCGAGCATGTTAGCAGGTTGCGCGGTGGTCTTCAAAGAGACTGCGGGTCTTATTTTCGTTAAAGTTGATCCACTAATATCATTCAGTAACAAAGTCGATGTACTCTTGCTTTCAGTCCTCTTCGTTTCAAAGCCTGTTTTGCCCAAATCAAAAATAGGAGCTGTAGTGTATTCCCTAGAAGTTTCTCTACTGAACGTAACCGGTCTGTAAATAGTGCTAGACGATTTAATTTCTCCTCTGTTATTGGGCGGTTTAACAGTCATTATGGCAGTAGCTTCTTCCTCGGGGGTTATTGCTCCAGTCTTGGTGTAGCCAGCTAGTGAAGATGCTTCAGCGTTTTTATGATAAGCACTAGTTTTGGAGACTCTAACAATGACACTCGCTTCAGCACGTGTTCCGCTTGTTTCCATTCCAGAACTTTCCAAGCTCACCTGCATCGATGCAACAGATTTTGAGGTTACCATGAACTTGCTTCCAGGAGCTGAAATTTTTGAAATTCGGCTGCTTTCACTACTAAAAACGATGTTCCCTAGAGCTGTAGTAGAGACACTAGCTTTCGTAAATTTGGCTCCATCAGCAGGTGATGATAAGCTAAGTGATGATTCTTTAGCCACGCCTTCGGATGGAGTTCTCATTGGATAACTACCTTCACTGCTGGGCGTTACTGTTGACGTGAGTCCAGTTTCCTCGCTAGGCGATGACCCTTGAGCCGCGCCTTCGAATGGAGTTCTCATTGGATAACTACTTTCACTGCTGGGCGTTTCTGCTGACGTGACTCCAGTTTCCTCGCTAGGCGATGACCCTTGAGCCGCGCCTTCGAATGGAGTTCTCATTGGATAACTACTTTCACTGCTGGGCGTTACTGTTGACGTGAGTCCAGTTTCCTCGCTAGGAGATGACCCTTGAGCCGCGCCTTCGAATGGAGTTCTCATTGGATAACTACTTTCACTGCTGGGCGTTACTGTTGACGTGAGTCCAGTTTCCTCGCTAGGAGATGACCCTTGAGCCGCGCCTTCGAATGGAGTTCTCATTGGATAACTACTTTCACTGCTGGGCGTTACTGTTGACGTGAGTCCAGTTTCCTCGCTAGGAGATGACCCTTGAGCCGCGCCTTCGAATGGAGTTCGCATTGGATAACTGCTTTCCCTGCTAAAGGCTGCTGTTGACGTGAGTCCAGTTTCCTCGCTGGGTGACGTTTCATTAGCCAGGCTTTCGAATGGAGTCCTCTTTGGATAGCTGGCTTCGCTACTTGGCGTTTCTGTACCCAGAAGTCCAGCCCCTTCGCTGGGTGACGTTTCATTAGCCAGGCTTTCGAATGGAGTCCTTCCTGTATATCTGACTTCGCTGCTTGGCGTTTCTGTACCCTTGAGTCCAGCCCCTTCGCTGGGTGACGTTTCATTAGCCAGGCTTTCGAATGGAGTCCTCTTTGGATAGCTGGCTTGGCTACTTGGCGTTTCTGTACCCAGAAGTCCAGCCCCTTCGCTGGGTGACGATATCCCTGTTCCAACGCTTCCACTAACCCCAGTGCCCGGTGTTTGCCCGCTAACGGATGGCCTCTCTGGATAACTTTCAGTAGAACTTCCACTAACTGCGAGAATCGTTTTGGCAGTGGGAGTTTCTCCTGTGCCCGCTGTTCCGGTACTTTTCCTGATTTCTGTTAGTGATGAGAGGGCAGTACCCGGTGTCTTTGTTCCAACGCTTCCACTAACCCCAGTGCCCGGTGTTTGCCCGCTAGCGGATTGCCCCTCTGGATAACTTCCAGTTGCACTAGGAGTTTCTCCGGTGCCCGCTGTTCCGGTACTTTTCCTGATTTCTGTTAGTGATGAGAGGGCAGTACTCGGTGTCCTTGTTCCAAAGCTTCCACTAACCCCAGTGCCCGGTGTTTGCCCGCTAGCGGATTGCCTCTCTGGATAACTTCCAGTTGCACTAGGAGTTTCTCCGGTGCCCGCTGTTCCGGTACTTTTCCTGATTTCTGTTAGTGATGAGAGGGCAGTACTCGGTGTCCTTGTTCCAACGCTTCCACTAACTCCAGTGCCCGCTGTTTGCCCGCTAGCGGATGGCCTCTCTGGATAACTTCCAGTAGAACTTCCATTAACTGCGGAAGTCGTTTTTGCACTAGGAGTTCCTCCGGTGCCCGCTGTTTCGGTACTTTTCCTGATTTCTGTTAGTGATGAGAGGGCTGTACCAGGTGTTTTTGTTCCAACGCTTCCGCTGACCCCAGTGCCTGGTGTTTGCCCGCTAACGGATGGCCTCTCTGGATAACTTCCAGTAGAACTTCCACTAACTGCGGGAATCGTTTTGGCAGTGGGAGTTTCTCCTGTGCCCGCTGTTCCGGTACTTTTCCTGATTTCTGTTAGTGATGAAAGGGCAGTACCCGGTGTCCTTGTTCCAACGCTTCCACTAACCCCAGTGCCCGGTGTTTGCCCGCTAGCGGATGGCCTCTCTGGGTAACTTCCAGTAGAACTTCCATTAACTGCGGAAGTCGTTTTTGCACTAGGAGTTCCTCCGTTGCCCGCTGTTTCGGTACTTTTCCTGATTTCTGTTAGTGATGAAAGGGCAGTACCCGGTGTCCTTGTTCCAACGCTTCCACTAACCCCAGTGCCCGGTGTTTGCCCGCTAACGGATGGCCTCTCTGGATAACTTCCAGTAGAACTTCCATTAACTGCGAGAATCGTTTTTGCAGTAGGAGTTTCTCCTGTGCCCGCTGTTCCGGTACTTTTCCTGATTTCTGTTAGTGATGAAAGGGCAGTACCCGGTGTCCTTGTTCCAACGCTTCCACTAACCCCAGTGCCCGGTGTTTGCCCGCTAGCGGATGGCCTCTCTGGATAACTTCCAGTAGAACTTCCACTAACTGCGGGAATCGTTTTTGCAGTAGGAATTTCTCCGGTGCCCGCTGTTTCGGTACTTTTCCTGATTTCTGTTTGTGATGAGAGGGCAGTACCCGGTGTCCTTGTTCCAACGCTTCCACCAACCCCAGTGCCCGGTGTTTGCCCGCTAGCGGATGGCCTCTCTGGATAACTTCCAGTTGCACTAGGAATTTCTCCGGTGCCCGCTGTTTCGGTACTTTTCCTGATTTCTGTTTGTGATGAGAGGGCAGTACCCGGTGTCCTTGTTCCAACGCTTCCACTAACCCCAGTGCCCGGTGTTTGCCCGCTAGCGGATGGCCTCTCTGGATAACTTCCAGTTGCACTAGGAGTTCCTCCGTTGCCCGCTGTTTCGGTACTTTTCCTGATTTCTGTTAGTGATGAAAGGGCAGTACCCGGTGTCCTTGTTCCAACGCTTCCACTAACCCCAGTGCCCGGTGTTTGCCCGCTAACGGATGGCCTCTCTGGATAACTTCCAGTAGAACTTCCATTAACTGCGAGAATCGTTTTGGCAGTGGGAGTTTCTCCTGTGCCCGCTGTTCCGGTACTTTTCCTGATTTCTGTTAGTGATGAAAGGGCAGTACCCGGTGTCCTTGTTCCAACGCTTCCACTAACCCCAGTGCCCGGTGTTTGCCCGCTAGCGGATGGCCTCTCTGGATAACTTCCAGTAGAACTTCCACTAACTGCGGGAATCGTTTTTGCAGTAGGAGTTTCTCCTGTGCCCGCTGTTCCGGTACTTTTCCTGATTTCTGTTAGTGATGAAAGGGCAGTACCCGGTGTCCTTGTTCCAACGCTTCCACTAACCCCAGTGCCCGGTGTTTGCCCGCTAGCGGATGGCCTCTCTGGATAACTTCCAGTAGAACTTCCACTAACTGCGGGAATCGTTTTTGCAATAGGAGTTTCTCCTGTGCCCGCTGTTCCGGTACTTTTCCTGATTTCTGTTAGTGATGAAAGGGCAGTACCCGGTGTCCTTGTTCCAACGCTTCCACTAACCCCAGTGCCCGGTGTTTGCCCGCTAGCGGATGGCCTCTCTGGATAACTTCCAGTAGAACTTCCACTAACTGCGGGAATCGTTTTTGCAGTAGGAATTTCTCCGGTGCCCGCTGTTTCGGTACTTTTCCTGATTTCTGTTTGTGATGAGAGGGCAGTACCCGGTGTCCTTGTTCCAACGCTTCCACCAACCCCAGTGCCCGGTGTTTGCCCGCTAGCGGATGGCCTCTCTGGATAACTTCCAGTTGCACTAGGAATTTCTCCGGTGCCCGCTGTTTCGGTACTTTTCCTGATTTCTGTTTGTGATGAGAGGGCAGTACCCGGTGTCCTTGTTCCAACGCTTCCACTAACCCCAGTGCCCGGTGTTTGCCCGCTAGCGGATGGCCTCTCTGGATAACTTCCAGTTGCACTAGGAGTTCCTCCGTTGCCCGCTGTTTCGGTACTTTTCCTGATTTCTGTTAGTGATGAAAGGGCAGTACCCGGTGTCCTTGTTCCAACGCTTCCACTAACCCCAGTGCCCGGTGTTTGCCCGCTAACGGATGGCCTCTCTGGATAACTTCCAGTAGAACTTCCATTAACTGCGAGAATCGTTTTGGCAGTGGGAGTTTCTCCTGTGCCCGCTGTTCCGGTACTTTTCCTGATTTCTGTTAGTGATGAAAGGGCAGTACCCGGTGTCCTTGTTCCAACGCTTCCACTAACCCCAGTGCCCGGTGTTTGCCCGCTAGCGGATGGCCTCTCTGGATAACTTCCAGTAGAACTTCCACTAACTGCGGGAATCGTTTTTGCAGTAGGAGTTTCTCCTGTGCCCGCTGTTCCGGTACTTTTCCTGATTTCTGTTAGTGATGAAAGGGCAGTACCCGGTGTCCTTGTTCCAACGCTTCCACTAACTCTAGAGCTTGACCTTTCGGGGATGACATTGAATGGCGTTCCCTTTGGATAACTTTCAGTGGAGCTTCCACTAACTGCGGGAATCGTTTTTGTAGTAGGAGTTTCTCCTGTGCCCGCTGTTCCGGTACTTTTCCTGATTTCTGTTAGTGATGAAAGGGCAGTACCCGGTGTCCTTGTTCCAAAGCTTCCACTAACCCCAGTGCCCGGTGTTTGCCCGCTAGCGGATGGCCTCTCTGGATAACTTCCAGTAGAACTTCCACTAACTGCGGGAATCGTTTTTGCAGTAGGAGTTTCTCCTGTGCCCGCTGTTCCTGTACTTTTTCTGATTTCTGTTAGTGATGAGAGGGCAGTACCCGGTGTCCTTGTTCCAACGCTTCCACTAACCCCAGTGCCCGGTGTTTGCCCGCTAGCGGATGGCCTCTCTGGATAACTTCCAGTTGCACTAGGAATTTCTCCGGTGCCCGCTGTTTCGGTACTTTTAATGATTTCTGTTAGTGATGAGAGGGCAGTACCCGGTGTCCTTGTTCCAACGCTTCCACTAACCCCAGTGCCCGGTGTTTGCTCGCTAGCGGATGGCCTCTCTGGATAACTTCCAGTTGCACTAGGAATTTCTCCGGTGCCCGCTGTTTCGGTACTTTTAATGATTTCTGTTAGTGATGAGAGGGCAGTACCCGGTGTCCTTGTTCCAACGCTTC